ATATTCAACAAATATTTATTAAGCTCCTGCTCTAAGTTCCCTTATTTAACAGAAAGCCAAAAGCCCTTAAGGATCTTGTATTCTAGAAATGTAAGAAATATGCCCCAGGCTCTACTTGAACCTCTAGTTGGCTTCTGTGACTATTCGTCACTGATCACATGCTCAGGCCACCTTCATCTGGCTCCCTACTCAGCGAGGGCAACTGTTTTGCATGTTAATTTAAGAAAAACATAATTAGGAATGTAACTGCAACAGCATATGAGGCATAGTAGATAATTAACACATATTTTAAGTGCTAAATTTGTATCAAACACTGTGCTAAGTACATTTACATACAGTTTCTTATTTAAACCTCAAGGAAATATGTGAGACTGATATTAGCATCCTATGGTTTCATGTCAGAAAATCAGTGTAAGCTTAAAAAATTATCACAATATTTTCTGTCCATTTGAGTGGACAATTAAGTCTTGTTTTTACCATCTTGGGGTCAACATTGACCTAAGAAAAAGTACAAATGGATAAAAATGATGAACTATCATATAACCAGAGAAGGATTAACTATTCATCCCTAAATACTCAAGAGAAGTCAGTAGAAGTATTTCTTCTATGGTGTCACATGTGTTCCTGGGGGTAGAGTGGGAGCATGTTCTGCAATATGTGCAGTAAAAAAATGCAGCCCTTATGGGACACGTAGAGTTGGGGCAAAGCATTCAAAACCTCCGGAGCTGTGTAACAAGCCCACCACTAACCGAAAAATCCTAATTTTAAAATACGGCACCATTATATTTTCATTGGCGTTTGCCACTAACAATGGTCAGTTGATACTTAGCCTCAAAATTTAATTCTTATGTTCCCTCCTTCAAGACTTAGGTCCCAGTGGGCAGTTTCATCAGTATAATCTTATCAAGAATGCTTTCTTCGTTGGACGATGTTTTTTTGAAAAGGGAATGCCTTTGTAGCTTATTAATCTGCACGCACATTTTTTTTTCAGTGAGGTGAATGCATGAGTAATCACAGCTGTTTTCAAAGGCACTAAACAGGCCTCTACTTGCCAGGACTCTGCAGGATTGTCAGCTTTTTCTTAGGTCATCATATAGTAAATGTTTTCCTTTAGTGTAAAATATACACAAAGAAATACACGAATACAAAGCGTAGAGATGGATGAATTTTCACAAATGAGCACGTCTGGGTAACCAACACTGACCCAGATCAAAAAATAAAACTTTATCACCTCCTCTGAAGATCCTCCCTCCCCTCTGGTAAGTGCTACCCTGACTTCTAATACCATAGATTAGCTTTCCCAGTTCTTGAACTTGGTATAAGTTGAATCATACAGTTGCTTATGGATTTGGTGTCTTATTTAATGGTATGTTTGTGATCATACATACAAACAACTGTATGTTGTAGATGTCAGTAGTTCATTTCTTATTCTTTCTCTGTAACGTTCCATTTGGTGGTCTAGTGGTTAAAATACATTGCCCTCACCGCCAGGGCCTACGTTTGTTTCCCAGTCAGGGAACCACACCACCCGGCTGTTGGGTGTCATATTGTGGCAGCTGTGTGTTGCTGTGATGCTGAAAGATATGCCACAGGTATTTCAAACACCAGCAGGGTCACTCATGGTGGACGGGTTTCACTGGAGCTCCCAGACTACGACAGATGAGGAAGGACCTGGCCACCCACTTCTGAAAAAACTGGCCATGAAACCCTATGTATAGCAATGGAGCATTGTCTGACACAGCGCTGGAGGGTGAGAGGATGGCGCAAAAAGACCCAGTGGGATTTCAATTTGCAGTGCACAGGGTCGCTGGGAGTTGAAATCAACTCGACAGCACTAACAACAGCAAAAGTGTTCCACTGTATGAATATAGAGCAATTTGTTCACCCCTTTTAGTGGGCATTTAGATCATTTTCACTTTTTACAAACAGTGCTGTTGGAATATTGTTGTAAACGTTTTCCGATGTGCACATTTCTGTTGAATGTATTCATATGACAGGAATTGCTGGGTTGCAGGCCATGTGTATTATCAGTTTTAGTATACAGTACTAATTTTCCCCATTGGTTGTACCATTTACACTTGCACTATATTTTATGAGAGTTTTCACTGTCCACATCCCCTCCTGTAATTAGTATTGTTGTCCTTCATTTATTTTTAATCATTTCATGGGAAAATACAATACAGATTAAAAAAACACACACAAAACAGATGGCTTAATAAACCATTTAAGGTAAATATCTTTGTAATCAGTGCATTGGTTAAGAAATAAAACTTTGCCATTTCAAATTTCCTGTCATTATTGCCACTCTCTTCCTTCCCCCAAAGTAGTCACATTCTTGACTTAAAATAATGACCTCTTCCTTGTGTGTCATTATACTTTTACTGCCAAATATTTATTTCTCAACACTATAATTTAGTTTTGTACATCTTTAATTTTAGTTTTTTACAAGACAAAGATATGTCTATTTATGTATATTACTGTAGTTTGAGTTAATTTTGTCTATGGTTCAAGGAATGGATCAAAGTTCATCTTTGTACCTATGGATGTACAGTTGTTCTATCAGCATTTGTGAAAAAACTGTTCTTTCTCCGTAGAATTTCCTTTGCACCTTTGTGAAAAATCAGTTGGCTGTATATATGTGGCCTCCATTTATTTAGACCTCCATTTATTTAGGTCGCGTAAAATTTTTCTCAGCAATGTATTACCATTTTTCATGTACGGTTCTGGTTAATATTTTGTCATATTTACCCCTAAATATTTCACATTTTTGGGATATTTCAAATTATATTTTTGATTGTATTTTCACATTGTTGCTAGTATACAAATACAATTAATTTCTGTTTATTGTTATTTATCCTGTAACTTGGCTAAATTCATTTATTTGTTTTTCAAAAAATCTTGCTGATATTTTGATTAGTATTGTTTTGAATCTATAGGTCAATGTGAGGAGGATTGACAACCCAACAATAGTGAGTCTTCTGATTCATGAACATGTATTTCATGAATTTATATTGGTCTTCTTTAATTTTTCTCATCAATGTTTTGTAGTTTTCTACATATAGGCCTTATACATCTTTTGTCAGATTTATCCCTAAGCATTTCATATTTTTGATGCTATTGTAAATGCTATTTTGTTATTTCATTTTGGTTGTTTGATTATTCATTGCTTACATATGGAAACACAATAGATTTTTGTCTACTGATTTGTATCTTGAAATCTTACCAAATTCATTTTATTCACTATAGAATTTTTCTATAGATGATTGTGTCTTCTGCAAATCAAAAGAGTTTACTGGGGCTGGCCCCATGGCCTAGTGGTTAGGTTTGGTGTACTGTGCTTCCACTGAAGCAGGATTTGCGGATTTGGATCCCAGATGTGGACCTACACCACTCATCAGCCATCCTGTGGCAGTGACTCATATACAAAATAGAGGAAGATTGGCAACAGATGTAGCTCAGGGCGAATCTTTCTCAAAAAAAAAAAAAAAAGAGTTTACCTTTTTCTTTCCAATTTTTTTTTTTTGCCTTATTGTAATGGCTACAATCTCATGTAAAACGTTTAATAGAAGTGGTGGGAGTGGATATGATTGCTTTGTTCCTGATATTAGAGAAAAAGCAGTCAGTCTTTTACCTATAAATATGATGTTAGCTGTACAATTTTTTGGTAGATACTTTTATCAGTTTCAGGAAGTTCCCTTATATTTCTAGTTGACTGAGTTTTACCGGAAATAAATATTAGATATTTTTCAAATGCTAATCCTGCATCTGTTGAGATGATTGTATGATTTTACTCTTTTAGTCTGATAATACAGTGAATTAGCTTGATTGATTTTTTGTAATGTTAAATTTGCCTTGCATTCCTGGGATAAACCCCACTTGGTCACAACACATTATCCTTTTTATATATTGTGATATTCAATTGGCTAAAATTTAATAACAATTTTTGTACCTATGTTTACTAGAAGCATTGGCAAGTAGTTTTCTGTGTTGTAATGACTTTGTCTAGGTGGGTAACAGAAAAATATTGTCCTCATAAAATGAGTTGGGAAATATCTATTCTCTCCCATTTTTTGGAAGAGTTTATATAGAATTGGTATTTTTTCATCATTAAATGTTTGGTAGAATTTATCACTAAAGCTATATGGGCATAATATTTTCTTTGTGGAAAGGTTTTTACTACAAATTCAGTTTCTTTACTAGATACAGGGCTATTCAGGTTATCTATTTCTTCATGGGTAAGCTTTGGTGATTTGTCACTTTCAAAAAGTTTACTATTTCATTACACTATCAAATACATTGAAAGAATGTTTTTTCATAAGATTCTCCAATTATCAACTTAATACGTGTATAATCCTCTACGATGTCACCTTTCTGAAACCTGATAGTCTGTGCTGACTCTTACTTTTTTCTGATCAGTCTGGCTGGAGGTTTATAAGATTTATTAATCTTCTCTAAAAAACAGTTTTTGCTTTCACTTATTTTCTCTGTTACTTTTCTGTTTTCTATTTCATTGGTGACCAATCTGATATTTATTTTTCCTGTCCTCTGCTTACATTGAGTTTCATTTGCTTTACTTTTTCCAGTTTTTTCTTAAAGTGAAAGCTGAGGCCGTTGATCTGATATCTTTCTTACTTTTTAACGTAAGTATCTAGTGCTATGAATTTTTCTTTTAATTACTAATTTTAGTTTCCCACAGATTTAGATACTTTGTATTTTATTTTCTTTAATTCTTTTACAATTATTAAGACTTGTTTTATGTCCCAGAATATAGTTTATGTTTGCAAATTTTTTCCAATAGCACACAAATCAATATTTTATTTCATCAGTATATTCTGCTCTGAAATAGTGTCTTGGCTTGCTTGAGTGCTGCTATCCTCTCCTTCTCCACTTGTACACTGAAGGCTTCATTGGTGTGGAATCACATTAAACTGTTCTTCTGCATCTCCCACCTCACTTAGCCTAGGGCTAGTTCCACCTCAAACACATATACAACTGCTTTTTAATCAATTAGTTGACTATTGCAAGTGAAATTTTCTTACATGTAGGGGTTGAATACCAGTTAAGATTGTCTCAGTACTTGTCTGCGGATCATCACCAAGGTATCCTTTGTTCTCCACCCCCAGTGTATCTCCAGGTGCACTGTCAAGAAGGAAATTGAATATTTACACAAGCCTATGGGGAATATTAAATAATCTAAGAGATTTTTAAAAGACTGATACTGAGGTTACACCCTATAAAAATTAGATCTGAGGGAAGAGCCAAAATTAGTATTTCTTTGAAAAATCCACTGTGATTCCAATGTGTAGTAAAGTTTGGGAACCATTAGGGTAAGCATTAGGATGAGAACAAAGTATGTAAAAGCTTGATTTCCTGCTACTCTTACTTAGTATTCAGTAAGAGGCTTATACTTCTCCCCCATCAAGTATCCTCTAAGGCCAGAAAACTTATATATTCTCAGTAATGGTCCCTTTCAACACATAGGAAATACACACATACCTCTGAACTTGCTTCAACTTAATACATTTTTGGTAGCGAATTAATACTGTGACCACCCCAACACTGATAGCAACAAGGACAAGCACAACAACCAGGATGGAGACATCTGCAACATCAAAAACATGAGCTTCAGCCGAGACATCAACTGAGGACAGCGGAGTGTTAACAATTAACTGAGCTCTGACAATCCAGCTTCTCCCTTCCTCAAAGGACTTGAACTAACCCCTCTTCCCTCAATTTTTTTAATATAAAGTAAAAGGCTAAAATATTATACAAACTATCATCTGTGTTAGCACTTGACACTCCACCCAAGATTGCATTGTGTTTAAGGGAACCACAGTCAGCAGGAAAAGTTTGGTTGTCAGTTGTTAACTGACTACAGAAAAGGCCTTGTTGTGCTATGAGTTCTTAGAAGACCTAATCCAAATTTAACTAGAAGTTACATTAATTCTAAAAGCAATTCTAGTATACTCAAATTTGAGTATTTAAATATACAAACAATAAAAAGACCACACAAATCCATACAGAAACACAATATATGTACAGTTGAGTTAGAAAATAAGAAAAAAGTTTTCTCACTGGCTAGACTTTTGATATATGCAAGATATGATATTCTAGGATGCTCACTGGTAATATTTAAGGTTTCTTCCCAGTCCACAAGTGCCCGTTCTTCCTCACACTGGCACTCAAGTTCACTGCCATCCACCTGGAAGAGTAGTCAATCGTAAAATTTATGAAATGACTGACATAAGCTGTGTTTTGCACCTCACTTAGCTTAGTGCTAATTCTACATCAAACACACACATATATACATACAAACTTTTTATTGATTAATTAACTAAACTGTATACCAAAACCAATGTTGGAAAAAAAGAAGCAAATGACATGCAAGAAGTAATCACACTTGAAGACAGCCTTTGAACAATAGAATGATTCTGACAAGTGCAAAACCAGACGGACGAGATGACTTGACTTAACTCTCCAGAAGACATCGATAATAAACGAACAGCCCCTTCTAGAGTTGGACATATCGTAACCAAAGAGCAGACTGTAACTAGGTTTAGTAATAATGAGGTAACATTAACATGGGAAAAATGTGGTGGCACAATGCTTGGTTCATCAAAGAGCATTGCATAATGGCTAAGAACACACACTCTCTGTATTTACATCTCAGCTTTTCCTTTCCCTTAACATCAGTGTGACTCATTTTTCATCGTAAAAGTGGGCATAGAAATAATACTCACCTTTTAAGGTTGTTATGAAGCTTTTACAATTTAATATATATGTAAAGTATTTGAAAGAGTACCTGATACATATATAACTCTGTCTAAGTGTTATAGATTAATTGGGCTTGGGAAAGATGTTACCCATAAACACAAGCTGCTAGGTACTGCTAGTATTGAACAGTGTTAACTTAGCAAAAAATATATATAATTTTTTGTTGTTTTTCTCAAAAGCTTTAGGCTAATGTTGGCATTGGTGTAATTTAACTATAAGTGACATTATGATAGATCTAACTTTCAACTTTTGGTTTAAACTTCATATGTACATAAATTACTGGGTTTCTAGATTGCCAGACCAATGATAAAACATATACTTGCAATACTGGAAATTTCTATATATAATACCTGGTTTGGGTCTTTGGATCAATTTTACTGATGTTACATGAAAAAAATGGATCCCAAATGTATACTTGACTTAAAAATCTCCATACACACACGCACACACAAACACACACTCACACACACACAGGCTCAGGAAGGAAGTCCTATGTGACTAAATGACTGGTAAGACATTAATTTAAAAAGGAGTAAAATCTTACAGCATTTTCGTTGCACTGAGAGGAGCAATTGGTTGAATTGTAGACCTTTTCAATATTCACACATTCACCACTGCTGCACACCTAGAAATAAAGTCACTGATGTGAATTAGAAGGACTTGCTCTTAGAATTTACATGATTTTTTCTATTGTGAAAAACCACATATAGAATCTTCTGTTGAATGTTTGATGGATATTTGAAAATAACGTACTATGCATTCAAATATTGTTACATACAAATTCATTAATTATTAAAATGTCTATGCTCTAATTAATTCTTCAAATGTTAATCTATCAAAAATTCTACCACTGTAATTGCAACAATTTCTTCTATTATTTATATCAAGTTTTCTTTTACTTTGATAAGGATCCATGCTTGTTATATCACAGTTGCTGGCTGGGCATTTTGTTAATATCAATCAATCTTCTGATAGATGTTTATTACTTTTGTTTAAAATTTTGCTATTTTAAATACATTTTATGACCAAATTATTGTTGTTTTTGTTGCTTACGGTTATTGTCTGGCTTATCTTAGCCCATTTATTTAATTTTTGACTGCTATTTTTATTTTTATCTATTTCTTTAAAAAGAGCATATATTAGGAAATGTTTTCTCAACTCTATTGAGATATAATTGAGAAAAATTGTGTATGTTTAAAGTATATGCGTGATGATTTGATATACTTGTAACATTGTGAAATGATTATCACAAACTAAGTAACACATCCATTTCTCAAATAGTTACTTTTTTGTGTGTGGTGAGAACACTTAAAATCTATTCTCTTAGCAAATTTCAAGTAGACATTTTAGTATTATAAACTATAGTCAACAAGCTCTGCATTAGATCTCCAGAACTTACTCATAACAGGAAGTTTGTACCCTTTGACCAACATCTCTCCATTTTCCCCACCGCTCATCCCCTGGCAACCATCATTCTACACTCTGTTTTTGTGACTTTGATTTTTTTAGATTCCACATATAAGTAAGATCATACAGTATTTATCTTTCTGTGTTTAGCTTATTTTGCTTAGCATAAGTGAAATGTCCTCCAAGTTCATCCACGTTGTTGCAAATGACAGGATTTCCTTCTTTCTTAAGGCTAAATAATATGCCATATGTATATATGGATATAATGGAATATCCATATATACATATATACACATATATGTACATATATACACATATAACATTTTCATTATCCATTCATTTGTCAAAAGACATTTAGAGGGGCTGGCCTGGTGGTGTGGCACTTAAGTTCACACGTTCCACTTCAGCGGCCTGTGGTTCGCTGGTTTGGATCCTGTTTGGATCCTGGGCGTGGACCTACTTACCACTCATCAAGCCATACTGAAGCAGCATCCCACGTAGAAGAGCTACAAATCTACAACTACGATATACAACTATATACTGCGGCTTTGGGGAGAAAAAAGAAAAAGAGGAAGATTGGCAACAGATGTTAGCTGAGGGCCAATCTTCCACACACACAAAAAAAGACATTTAGATTGCTTCCAGTCTAATATAATAATATGTATTGTGCGTAATGCTGCAATGAACATGGAAGTGCAGAAATCTCTTCAAGATCCTGATTTCAATCCCTTTGGATGTATATCTAGAAGTCGGATTGATGGATCATATGGTAGTTCTATTTTTAATTTTTTGAGGTACCTCCATATTGTTTCTATAATGGCGGCACCAACTTACTTTCTCACCAACAGTGCGCAGGGTTCCCTTTTTTTCCACATCCTCACCAACACCTATCTCTTGTATTTTTGATAATAGCCATCCTAACAGGTGTGAGGTGATATTGCGTAGTGGTTTTGATTTGCATTTCCCTGAGGATTAATGAGCACATTTTTATATACCTGTTGGTCATTCATACATCTTCTTTGGAAAAATGTCTATTCAGGTCCTTTGCCCATTTTAAATTGTATTATGTGGTTTTTTGCTATTGAGTTGTATGAGTTACTTATAATTTTTATATATTAATCCTTTATCACATATATGGTTTGCAAATATTTTTCCCATTGCCGTTTCATTTTGTTGATTGTTTCCTTTGCTGTGAAGAAATGTTTTACTTTGACATAGTCTCACTTATTTATTTTTGCTTTTTTGCCTTTGCTTTTGGTGTCACATACAAAAAATTATTGCCAAGACCAACGTCAATGAGTTTTTCCCTTGTTTTTTTTTCTAAGTGTTTTACTGTTTCATACCATACATTTAAATCTTTAATCCATTTCAAGTTAATTTTCATCCATGGTGTAAGATAAGGGTCCAATGTCATTCTTTTCCATGTGGATATCCAGTATTCCCAACGTCATTTATTGAAGAGACTAACCTTTCCCCATTGTACATTCTTGATGCCCTTGTAAAAGATTAGTTCACTCTTATGAATGGGTTTATTTCTGGGCTTTCTGTTCTGTTCCATTGGTCTATATGTCTATTTTTATGCCAGTATCATACTGTTTTAATTACTATAGCTTTGTAACATAGTTTGAAATAGGGATGTGTGATGCCTCTAGCTTTGTTCTTTTTTGCTCAAGATTGCTTTGGCTATTCGGGGTCTTTTGTGGTTCCTTACGAATTTTAGGATTGTTTTTCTATTTCTGTAAAGAAACCATTGGGATTTTGATAGAAATTGCACTGAATCTGTAGATTGCTCTGCGTAGTATGGACATTAAAACAATATTAATTCTTCCAATTCATGAACACAGGATATCTTTTAATTTATTTGTGTCTTCTTCAATTTCTTTCTTCAAAGTCATAGTTTTCAGTGTATAGATCATTCACCTGTTAGTTAAAAATATTCCTAAGTATTTTATTGTTTCTGATGCTATTGTAAGTGGAATTGTTTTCTTAATTTCTTTTTCAGATAGTTTGTTTTTAGCCTATAGAAACGCAGCTGATTTTTGTGTGTTGATTTTCTATCCTGCAACTTTATTGAGTTCATTTATTAGTCCTAACAGTTTTTTGATGGAATCTTTAGGGTTTTCTGTATATAAGATCATATCATCTGCAAACAGAGATAATTTAACCACTTCCTTTCCAAGCTTGATGCCTTTTATTTCTTTTTGTTGCCTAATTGCTCTGATTAGGACTTCCAGTACTATGTTGAATGAAGTGTGACAGTGGGTACTCTTGTCTTGTTCCTGATCTTAGAGGAAAAGCTTTCAGCTTTTCACCATTGAATACGTTAGCTGTGGGTTTGTCATATATGGCCTTTATTATGTTGAAGTACATTGCTTCTATATCTAATTTGTTAAGAATTTTTTTTATCAGGAAAGGATATTAAATTTTGCCAAATAGTTTTTCTGCATCTCTTCAGACGATTGTATGATTTTTGTATTTCATACTCTTAATGTGCTATATCACATTTATTGATTTGTGTATGTCTAATGATCCTTGCATCCCATGGATAAATCCCACTTGATCATGGTGTATAATCCTTTTAATGTGCTATTGAATTTAGTTTGCTAGTATTTTCTTGAGAATTTTTGCCTCTATGTTCATCAGGTATATTGGCCTACAATTTTCTTTTCTTATAGTTTCCTTATCTGGCTTTGATCTGAGGATAATGCTGGCCACATAAAATGAGTTTGGAAGTGTTCCCCCTTCTTCAATTTTTTAAAAGAGTTTGAGAAGGAATGGCATTAAATCTTTTTTAAATGTTTGGTAGAATTCACCTGTGAAGCCGTCTGATCCTGGGCTTTTCTTTTTTGGGAGATTATCAATTATTGATTCAATCTCCCTACTCATTACTGGTCTGTTCAGATATTCTATTTAGTCTTGGTAAATTGTATGTTTCTCAGAATTTATCCATTTCTTCTAAGTATTCAACTTGTTGCTGTATAATTTTTCATATTATTTTCTTATGATCCTTTGTATTTCTGTGATATCTCTTGTAATATCTCTTCTTTCATTTATAATTTTATTATTTGAGTCCACTCTCTTCTTTTCTTGATCAGTCTACTTAAAGTTCTGTCAATTTTGTTTATCTTTTAAAAAACCAAATCCTTAGTTTTGTTGCTATTTTCTATTGTCTTTCTTATCTCTATTTCATTTATTTCTGCTCTATAAATCTTTGTTATTTCCTTCCTTCTGCTAATTTTGGGCTTAGTTTTGTTTTGTTTTTTCTGGTTTCTTGAAGAGTAAAGTTAGGTTGTTTATTTGAGATCTTTATTCTTTCTTAATGTAGGCTTTATTGCTAAATACTTCCCTCTTTGAACTGGTTTTGCTTCATTCCATAAGTTTTATTATGTTGTGTTTCCATTTTCTTTTGTCCAAGATACTTTTTGACTGTCGTTTTGATTTATTCTTTACTCACTGGTTGTTCAAGAGTGTATTGTTCAATTTCCAAATATTTGTGAATTTTCCAATTTTCCTCTGGTTACTGATTTCTATTTCATACCATCGAGGTCAGAAAAGATATTTGATATTATTTGGTCTTCTTAAATTTGTTAAGAGTTGTTTTGTAGCCCAAAATATGATCTATCTTGGAGAATATTCCAAGTGCAATTGAGAAAACATGTGATTCTGCTACTATTGGATGGAATATTCTGTATACATATTTTAGGTCCATTTGATCTATATGGTTATTCAAGTCTTCTGGTTCCTTTTTGATTTTCTTGTTAGATGATTTATCCGTTGTTGAAAGTGGGGTATTAAAGATCCATACTATTATTGTATTGTTGTATTTCTCCCTTCTGTTTGGTTGATAATTGCTTTATATATTTAGGTCCTCCAATGTTGGGTACATATATTTACAATTGTTATATTCTCTTGACGAATTGACCCCTTTATCATCATATAGTGATCTTCTTTGTTTCTTTGACAGATTATGATTGAAAGTATATTTTGTCTGATAGCCACCCCTGTTCTCTTATGGTTATCTTTTGCATGCAATATCTTCTTCATCCTGTCACTTTCAGCCTATCTGTGTCCTTAAAAATAACACGTCTCTTGTAGGCAGCATACTGTTGTATCTCCTTTTTTTTTTTTTTAACCCATCAGCCACTCTGTGTCTTTTGCTTAAATAAGTTAATCCATTTAAATTTAATGTAATTATCGATAGCTAAGGATTTAATATTG